AAACATCTGAGGTCTAGACCAAATTTCTTCAAGGTCTGGCCTTGAGGCCATGATAATCGAGCATGCAGGAGTCGTAGGAGGTAGATACAGGCCATCAATGGCTTTGGAAGCCCTGGATGTGGTCGATTTTAGGTGATGATTGAAGGTGGCGGCTAGGGTTTTTGAAAGAGATTGAGAGAGAATTGGGAGATGGGGAATTCAAGGTCGGCTTCAGACGGGAAATGATTATGGTTAGGGGATAATGGGGAATTAAAAAAGGAAAGGGAAATGGGGACCGTTGATCGGGGAGATTAACGGTTGAGATTAGAAAAGGTAGGTGGGAAACGGGTCTGGGTTGGTTTGAACGGGGTTTGGATCAGGGTAATTGGGTTTGAGATTGGATTTAATTGAGGGTTGATTTAGGGCTATAATTGAAATAAACGAGGCTAGCATTTAAATGGCAACTTTTCCCTTGTTTGATTTTATAAAAATGGTAAAATAATTTTTGAAAATAAATTAAAGGCACTAAGATGATTAATAATATATAATTATCAAATAAAAAATACTGGAGCCAATTTTATAAATATAATTTCAATTAAATCTTAGAAGAGGCTAATATTGCAATTATATACAATATTTAGCCTAAAAATGCCAAATAAATTTGTAAAAATATGCAAAAAAATTATTTTAGTATAAATATGAGAATCCACTAAATGAATCACCAAAAATGATAATTTTGGGGATAATTATTGGTTTTATTCTTGATGAAATAGAGCAATAAATTGATTTAAAAACCTTTTAAAATTGGGAAAAATAATGAAACCTTGGGACATACTTATATATGCATATACATGCTATTTTAAAAGTATTTTATATATTAAAAATATACAGAGAAAAATTGGGTATCAACATGTGTTTGTTATACCCCTAGGTGAACTCCATGAAAAACGGGGGTCCTTCTGACCCATTGCATTGAAGTTATAATTACCAACAGCATTAACTATCTCTATTGAAGCTTGACACTCATGAGTAGGGTGCCCTCTTTAACATATATCACAGGCTGCATGAGGCTCATTATGTATTGAGGCCAATGGCAGCTTCCTTATTTCTTTGGCCATGGCATCAAGTTGTACCTGCACAGATGTATTAGTATCAACCTAGTGAACACCAGTTGATCTTTTTCTTTTAGCAATCTCCGAGGGCCACTGATTTGCATCTTTAGATAACTCATCTAGAATAGTGACTATCTCCTCTGAATTTTTCTTCATCAACGGTCCTCCAGCTGCATTGCTTAATGTTTTGCGTGAGGCTGGTGTCAAACCATCCCAAAAGTTCTGGAGTTGCATCTAGAGTTCAATTCCTCTGTGTTGACACTTTCTGATAATCACTTTAAGCCTCTCCCATGCTTCAAACACAATCTCAATCTCATTCTGGTAGAAGTTACGGATTTCTCTTCCAAACTTTCCCGTCTTAGCTGAGGAGAAATATTTAGCAAGAAATTTTCCGGTCATCTCATCCCATGTTCTAATTGATCCATGGGGTGAGCTTCAAAGCCAATGCTTTGCATCATCTTTCAAAGTGAAGGGGAATGCCCTTAAGTACATTGCATCTTGTGACACACCATTATATTTAAAGGTGTTCATTATCTCCTTAAAGTCCATTAGATGATTGTTTGGATCTTCATTCATCTTTCTAAAGACACAACTATTTTGGAGGGTTTGGAGAAACCCTTGCTTTTACTCGAAATTATTGGCTACAACTGAAGGTGGTTTCACACTTGATAAACCTTGGTTGTAGATCGGTCTGGCATAATCGCCAAGTGATCTCCCTTGGCTGGGAGCTATGTTTCCGAACTTGTCACGACCCACACCGATGGGCCGCAACGGGCACCCGGTAACTTACTCAATCGAATACCTACATAACGTATTTTTCATATCATACTATCATAGGTAAATGAGCCAGAGAGGCTATCGTGAGATAAGTAGAATAAAACATGGGGAAATACTCATCATTGGACGACTAACATGTACTCCAAACTTATTCATATGACATACATGCCAATAAGGTCGATATGATCCTTTATATACTCAAAACTTAGGCCGACAAGGACATACAAGAATCTGTTTACATGACATCTGTCTACAAGCCTCTAAGAGTACATACTTATCGTAAAGCTCGGGACAGGACCTCGCCATACCAAACAATGCATGAACTACTCATACTGACTAAATAAGCAACTCTGGAGCAAATGGAGCGCACCCACATCTTCCGCTGAGTTGATAGCCTACTTGGAGGACTCTCGGCCTATCTATCGGGACCTACAGGCATGACACATAGCGTCCCCAGACAAAACGGATGTCAGTACAAATAATGTACCGAGTATGTAAGGCACATAAATAAGTACATAAAAGACATGGAAGAAATATAGAGTACATGACTCAACCTATAAGTCTGTACAATTTTGTAAATCATGAAATACTTATAGTGTCATGCATATGCGTATGAATATCATGTCGTGCATAAGTACATCTGTTCATAATATCATCAAGCCTTTGAGGGCATCCCATCATATCATCTCGGCCACTATTGGCAAAATCATCAACGTATACCAGTTGATCAGGTGGTGGTGCGTATATAACGCCATAACCTTNCGTCATTTGGTCATGTGTCAATGCACATGTATAAATGCATGAAATGCATAAGAAACACATTAATAAGATTTTCTTGGAATCCCATAAAAATCAATATGTTTTTCGGATAAACTTTATGAAATACGTATTTTTCTGAGACCTATGAATAGAAGATATAATAATAATTCACATGGAGAATTAAAAATACAAACACCCCTAGTATTTCTGTGAATAGATTCATTTATGAAAATTGTGCATTTGCTCGTTTTGTTTGTCGTATAGATTATGCCAAAAGGAATAAGAGATAGCCTTAACATACCTGAACCGATTCTCTTTTGCGAAAACACGTAACGACAAATCGAAGTAGGAAAAATCTGTATGATATTATCAAGCTTTATTTGAATTAGCATCTCGACCAATCCAGATTCACGCTTCTTTTTCCCTTTTGTGTTTGTACACTCAACATAGTGTAATTTTAAAGATCAATTCACATAAAAGCTTAAATCCTCACAAAAAGATGAACCAAGAAATGGCTTTTAGGTAAAGTGATTCATCCATTACTAGCATCCGAACATAATAAGGTAAGAAACCTTCTTAAAATTGTTGGCTTGAACTCCATCCGTAAGGGAATCTCCAACAAGTCTTAGCATCACTCTTTGAATAAGGTAAGAGATCTCTTAAAGTTTTATGTTGTGGACCCCACTTTGATAATGACTTGGCCACAAATCTCTTTAATTGTGCCACCTTGCTACATGGTATAAGAGTCACCATATTGGGCTTTAATTCTCACTTAATTTGCTGCCACATTGGAGCTTATCCAAATAATTTAATCACTTAGTTAATCTTTTATTAAAATTCATAATTAACTAATTTCCCACATAATTAAGAATTATCTCAAATTACTTATAATACTACTCACTTTTGACACACCTTATACATTTTACTATTATGCTCGTGTGGTATCTTATATGACACTAGTCCATGAATACGGGATATAATAGTTTGGACCGTATTTTATTCCCAAATTGCCAAACTTAGAGAAATTTCATTTTCTCCAATTTGCTTACCCTCTCTCTTTCATGAATATTCTCATCACTTTTTTGGAATAGCATAATACTTATAATCCCAAAATAATCTCATTCCCGAGCTTACGTCGATTAACTTACGACGAAACATTAACGTAAAAAAAATACGGGACGTAACATCTCATTTTTGAGCTCTCGTCAATTTATTTATGGTGTACTTTCATATACAAAAATGTAGGGTGTAACATCATTACCCCCTTTGGAACATTCGTCCTCGAATATTGGCTAATGCACTTGTCATTCTTACAACACACACCTCTTGCGAATACTTTAGTACTCCTCTTGCCTCTTAGGCATCTATTTTGTGAATGAATCCTATAAGCCAGGGCATTCCCCCCTTTAGGCCTCTTTCTTGCACCACGACTTGTAGTTAGAATCCTTCCAATCTCGTAACTGTTGATACCTTCTATCATGCAGCCTGTACGACTCTAACCTTGTAAGTGTGCCTATGCGACTCTTCCTTCCTTTCTCCTCCAGTTTATAGCCAATCTCTAGGCCTCACTTTATATACTAAGCTTGACAAGATGTCCCTCTGGGTATCTATAGGTATACTAAAGTTCTTCATCTGGTACTTTTGTTGAACTTAGGGATATTGCTATATCTTGTTTCATAGACCCAGTTATCTATCCGTATGACTTTACTGCGGCTAGATAGGTCGTACTATATTGTAAATCTTACTTCGATTTATCGCTGCTGAGGTCTGTTACCAAACTCCATGTTACTCTTGTTGTTTATCCTATATGTATGAATCTGAGTCCTTTAATGCTTCTTCATTACTGTTCATCTAAAGACTGATGGCCTTATCTCATCTCGTACCTTACAACTTTTACCCATCCATTGTTGATTTACCTCAATGTTGACCTACATCCTTCCATTGATGACTTGAAACTTCTTATTTAATATATTACCACTAGGGCTTACGTTGCATCGTGGAACATTTGAAGTGATTTTCCTGATCCACTTTAAGGGCGATACTGTACTTCACTAATCATATTTTATAGCATCGCTACTAGAAAAAGGGCCTATGGCAACAGTTATTTTAGCAACGGTTGAACAACCGTTGCCATAGAACATCTATGGTAACGGTTACAACTGTTACAATAGCATTTAGGTGATATCAACACACTTAAGCTATACAATCGTTGCAATTATAAAACAACCGTTGCCATAGATGCATCTGGCGCAACGGTTATATAAACTGTCCCAACCCCTATTTATTTTATTTTTGAATAATTTTAATAATCAAAATATTAAGTAAAAAGACTATTTTTGCCCTTTCCCCATTAAAACCTGCGATACCCCCAATACTAGCTGATACCTCCAAATTAAGAACCCTCAGACAACTTCTTCAACTGCAAACGCCTTTCTCTCTCCAAAAATCTTCTTCTCTCGTTCACTCTAAGAAATCTGTTGAATCTTCCTCTCTATCGTATTCCTCTCTTTCACTCTCTGAACTTGGTTTAATAGGTTTTTACAAATAAGTTTTGCTGATTTAGTGGGGTGGCAAAATTTTGGGTATCGTGAAGGGGGTGGCGAAATTTTGAGGCATCTGAGCAGACTTCCTCAAAATAGGTGCTCTCCCCAAATCCCTAATTCCAACACTAGTGATTTTAGCCATGTAAGTTATTTTGATGCCTTTTTTTAACTCTTCAATCTATCCATGGAGGTTGTAGAATTGCTCTAGGGCTGGTGTATTTATATTTATATTGATTGTTGTAGGATTGCTCTAGGGCTGTGAATCTGAAGTTTTTCTTGCTTTATTTTTTTAATTTTGTGGTGTCAAATCAGTTATTTTTTGGTGAAACAGTGTTTGCTCTCCTTTTTTTCTTCTCTCTTTTGCTCCAACAAATCCAAACATGCAAAGGTTAGAGTTAATTCTGAAATGTTGCTTGTTTGTTGCATCCGCATGTGTGGATGAATTGGGATTTGCGTTTTAACAGACATTTCAAATTAATTAAATTGTCAAGTTTTCTCTTTTTCTTCTTGCTCATCTTCTTTTAATTATAAAAGTGATATATGGAGCAGAAGGAAAGAGATGAACATGAATTAAGCCAAAGCAGAAAGATATAAACCTTAAATTAATTAAATTTAACAGACCCACTTTGTGGGATTTTACTGGGTAGTTGTTGTAATGCGCAAATAGTTAATTATGTTTGTTTCTTCTAGATTCGATTCAAACCAGAACCTAATCCTAATAGGGTGAGAATTGAGATATTAACTGTTGTAGTGGAGAAACTGTGTAGGAGTTGTCCAGAAAACTACAAAACACTATCCAGAAATTTGGAAATACTGAGCTGAAAGTGCAGTTATTGTGCAGAATTATTTCTGGCCAGATTTAAATGTTTGACAAGCTTTGTAAGTTCCTTCAAATTAGTGACAATGAATTCAATGGTTCCTTCAAATTTGTGAGCTTTATGAGCTTTGTTGCACTGTTGATGCCTTAACAGCATGAATTGAACTTTTGTGGTTCCAGTGTTGAAATCCGATGCTTTGAACTTTGTTTTGGCTCTAGTTTTAGAATTTTTGTTCATTGCTGCTGTAGTTCCTTGAAACTGAATGGATTACTGATTTCCTGAATAGTCGTTGATCTAATTTGTGTTCCTCATATTCTTTTTTGCATTCTTTCCGTGACATCAAGAAACCAGAGAGTGTGATTTTGTGATTTTCCCTATTATGGCTTCTTCTTTGGTTACATTACCAAAACCAAAAGTAGAACAACTTTCATCCATTTCTCAACAAACATTACTTTCTTCATACATTTCTTTCCAAAGTAGTCTCAGGGCCTTGCCACTGTCAAAGTAGTCTATGTTGTATTAGAAAATCAAAGGTATTGTGCCAAGATTTTAAACTTCCCTTATGCTTATTCATTCACTTTATGTTTGATATATTCTCTGTAATCTCTTCTAGTGGTCTACAAACAATGGCTTTCTTTATTTCTTTCTGAACTGAAGTTGAAAAGTCTTTTGGTGATTTAAAGCAAAAATTAAATAGCTGTGGCTTTGTCTTGAAAATTATTCTGTCCTTTTACCAAGCTCAATGGTGTGCAGTGATGTTTTGTGTGAGTGATAGATTTGTTCCAAAAAGAGAGTGATAGCAAGATTTATCTGAAAAACTATCATCTTTGCTCGGGAGGCGATCTTTGTTGTTCTCATCCATCTTTAACTTCTTTAAACTGCACACTGACTGTGCCACTCGTCAACTTCCCACTCAAACATATTCCTTCTGAAATTATTGTAGCACATAGAGAAATATAGTTCAGTGTCTAACATGCCAAAGAGGGAGTATATAACTTTGGGTGTGACTCTGTAGAATGAGGCTTTGCAAATAATTTAAGTAGCTATGCTACTCTCTTAGTAGGCAAGATATCATATTAATCATATATCCGGAAAATAAATTAATAACAAACAAACAAATAAATGACATATTGATCAAGTATAATTCAGAATACTAATTTAAGCATTTAGTTAAGCTTTGTGGAATATAAAAATGTACCTGGGAAGCTGTAATGCTAGAGCTGCATTTGAAGCCACGGGAGTGATGCTAACGCTCTCGCTAGCTTCAGAAACTATTTCCTGCTAAAAGTGTCGTATGAAAATTAGTAAAAAAGTATGGATAAAAATATAACAGTATTCTTAATTAGCTTACTTCATTTGCCGGCTCAACCGGACTAATGCTAACTATCTCAGTAGCTTCAGAAACAACTTCCTCCTAAAATTTGTATGAAAAATTAGTTCAAGATTCTTAGAAATAAATAACATTAATTCCATATGATAGCCTCCTGCGCATATACAGTTTCATTCCATTGATGTTTCTAATCGAGGTGTAGAAAAGTGGCTATTTGCTGCATCCAGCACTGTCCAACATGTCTATTGTCTATGTGTGATACTTGTTTGTACACTTATGAGTCTAAAATTTATGAGAAATGAACATGTCTATTGCCTGCACGTTGTTTTCTTGCTTGACTGTATCTTCAAAGTGATCTGATAACTCTAATATGATTCCTCTTAAGTCAATATTATGCCCTGGGCTGCTTCTGTACTTTGATAGTGAATTACAGCATCCCATTTGTTCACAACTGTTGAGTTTTTGTGTTTTTGAACCTTTAAAGGGTTTACCATTACTCTTGTACCTACTGTTTGTATCTTAGCAGTATGAAGTTACTCAATTGATTCTATTGTTTGTGTTCAAATACTTCTTGGCTCTCATGTGTATCTAATTTTGAACAGAGGAAAGCGGATCATGAATCAGGAAGGGCGCTCAAGTAAAAATAAAAAATTAACAAAATGCATTGCAGCTGGATCGCTTGCATCTTTGCGAAACCTAAAGGTTTCGTCATTGAAAACAAACAGAGTTATTAATGCTCCAAGGTCACTGCCTCTGCATTCTACTTCACACTAGCACAAACAGTACATGAGCAAGTGCAACAAATGCCACTGAACTCTACACCTTCTGCATCACAAGCAGTGCGTGAACAATTGCAGCATTCTACTTCTACAGGTGGATAGGTGGATCGCTGCCTCTGCATTCTACTTCTGCACCAGCACAAACAGTACATGAGCAAGTGCAACAAATTCCACTGAACTCTACCTCTCTTGCATCACAAGCAGTACGTAAACAATTGCAACAACTACCACTGGATTCCACCACTCGTGCTTCACAAACGGTACAAGAACAAGTTGAGGATTCTTCCAATCATGAAACAAACGAGCAATCCGAGGAACAAGGCAAGAACATGTAGATTTCAATAGTTAAATTCAATAACGTAATGACTTTTGGTGGCTATTTTACTTCATATTAATGTAGTTCCTTCTGCCAAAAAACGAAAAAGAGGAAAAACTTAGATGCAAAGTGTTCATGGTAGGAAAGAGCGCAAGCAAATTGTGCTAAATGAGAACAATCAACCCATGGGTCCTACTGATGATGATGTAAATGAGTTGGGTAGCTTCCTTGGTACGTTGGCAAGGAATGCGACCTTTTGTCCTCTTAATGTGTTTGATTGGAGGAAACCTGAGACAAAAGAAGATATATGAAAATATGTCAAGGTTTGAAATTCGCAATATTCAATAGTTGTGTGTGGATATTTCATATTGTTTACACCAACCTAACTGCTCTAAATTTGTAGGGAAAATATGACATTCATGAAGGTGCAAAAAAGTGGGTTTTTTCAATCAATTTGAAATGCTTGGAGAAAGTACAAAAACCAGTTATATAAAGACCATTTTGAACCCTATGAGAATGACGAGCTTCGAATGGAGAATAGGCCGGTTGATGTTCTGGATTCTCAATTTAGGGAACTTCTTAGATATTGGAACTCTGATACCTACAAGGTAAAACTGAATATTGTTCCATGATTTGCTTAAAATATCTGATATTTGTTTATTTAGAAATCATGTTCTTAGGCGAGAAATATAGTTGCTCGAGAAATATAGTGAGGGGAAAAATTCAAACATTTGACCAAGTAGAAGTAATTTTAAGCTACTTTTCTGTTCATTACCTAATTAGAATGTCAATTTTAAAAATGAGATATTGAAAAGATGAATCAAATAGAAGTAACAATAAACATTATGAAATCATATACTATTAAGCATAATTTTCTGTCCAGAGGAATATTTATATAATAATAGGAGTATAATGGTGTTAAAAGTTATCCCAACTGAGTGCCAGAAACAGTGAGATAACTGAAAACACCATCACCCTTTACTCTTTAAGAAGCTACTGTAATACAGTATGCTCATATTTAGACCATTAAGAAACATTTCAATATTCAATTCTCACCAAATCAAAACAGAAAGTTCAAGTGAAAAGGAGACAATAGAAACAATAACAAGTCCACTTGGCAGAAATTTAACAAAAGCAGCAATATTGAATTTAGAAATGTCTTTAAGATTCATAATGCTCCTCAGTGCTCTCCTCTTCATACTCTTCCTCATCATCTGCTGTAGCATCCTGGCATTGTTGATATTCTGCAATCAAATCATTCATGTTGCTCTCGGCTTCAGTGAACTCCATTTCATCCATACCCTCACCTGTGTACCAATGCAAAAAGGCCTTGCGCCTGAACATAGCTGTGAACTGCTCACTCACTCTCCTAAACATCTCCTGAATGGAGGTCGAATTGCCAACAAATGTTAATGCTCTTCCCTCTATAAACTTGTTGCATAGCAAGCTAACTACTTGCTAATGCTTATTCATTTATGAATAGAGAACGAAATGTTCGTTTATATTTGACTCTGCTCTTTATATGTATCTGAGGGAGAAACCAGCTAGCCATAACTGAAGTATGTTGTATTTTTAAAAGAAATTGCATGACATTTCTTGATAGAAGAGCTGAAAATCCCACCTTTCTGTTTTCTTCTCCCCAGGTATACTCTGATTGTTTGCTCTTTGTCTGAATGTGATGATTTATGTGAGTGATTCTCTGGTAATTGGTTTTGGTTTCAAACAGACCACAATAAAAGGCAAATTAAAAGCTAGATTTGGGATATATAACTATTCTAATCTGGAGTCTGTTAGTGCCAAGGTTCTGATTTTATTCATCAGCCAAAAGAATTGGTTATTATATTGTATTCAAGAAAGGGCAATATCATGTATTCACTGACAATGTTTCTTTTTTGTCACAGAAAATGAAAGAAACCAACACTGAGAATCGCAAAAAGTTGAGATATCCACACACTGCTGGCAAAAAAGGTTTTGCTAGAATATGGGAGGTTTGATATTTTTTTTCTTATTATTCTTTTAAATATGAACTTGCTAGCCATAATCTGAACTATTTTATACCACTTTTTATGTAACCAGGAAAAAAGGAAAAAAAGAAAGAAACTTCTGAACCTCTATCAAGTAAGGACATATTTGTGGCTATAAGAAAAAGAAATCCCGATCGAGTATACAAGGCCTCGTATGCGGATACTCTTAATAAAATTGTATGAGTTACTAATTTAAAGTTTGTTGATATCATTTATCTGTTATTAGTTATTCTCAATTTTATATACTTTCTAATCTAAAATTGACTCAATTTGGTCTTGTAGGCTGAAATGGATAGAATACAATCAACACAAGAAACTGAAGATGGCAGTCAATCAGTTGACGCGTTTGCATCCGTCATGGGACCTGAGCATCCAGGACGCCTAAGATTGTATGGACGTGGGGTTACCAAGACTTCCTTAAAAAGAAAAGTGGGAGATATTGGAACCTCTTTAAGTTCTACCGATGAGATGTTGCAACAAAAAATGGTGGAAATGGAAGAAAGGATGCAACAAAGAATGCAGGAAAAGTTCAATGCACAAAAAGATGCCATGGAACTACAAGTTGCAGTTAACTGATTTCACAACTTAAGCGTCTTAATCCAGATTTACAGGTTGATCCCAGCATGCTAGCTTTCGATGCTCGTTCACCTGGAGATGCTTCCGCTTGTTGTGCAACTAATCAATCGTCTATCTACTGGGAGTAATAATCGAGGTCAGTACGTACTCTTCTTCTCTTATTCCTCCTCCTCATCCTTCTTCTTCTTCTTCTTTTCCTTCTGTTGCTTTTCAGCCACTGCTCTCTCTGATAAGGCATAGTGACTGTTTGACGGGAAATATTTTGGTAGCTGGAAATATTTTTGATAAGCAGTAGAGCGCAAATTGGTGTGCTCACGGGAAAGTAATTGCTAAAAGATACGCATAGTGACTCGTAGATGCTCTCTTCTGCATCTTTTATCAAAGCTGAGAAAGTTTTCACAACTAGAAAGTATAGGGAAATAACACTGATCTACTCCTGCTTTTCTTCTATATATATATCAAGTAAACTTCAGTGTCTGATATAATTAACCTTCAAGAAAAACACCTCATTACATTGAAACAATAAGCAAGAAAATCAAAGGTACAAGACAGAAAAAAAAGTTTTTAATTTATAGAGAATTCAAGAAATGGCGCCAGTGAAGAATAAAGAAAATGCTGGAATGTTGAAGGTGAAGGGAGTAGTGAAGAAACCAGTTTCTAAGGCGTATTCTTTTGATAGCGATATGAAGAAAATAGCAGAAGATGATCCAAGGAAAATTGTTCATTCAATTAAGGTTGGATTGACCATTGCCTTGGTCTCATTTTTCTACTACTTTGAACCTTTCTTTCATTATGAGGGATTTGGTGTTTCTGCAATGTGGGAATCTATACAGTATGCATCTTTCAAAAGCATTAGGAACTTCCTCTAGTTTTTTCATAGATGCTCTCTTCTGCATTTTTTATCAAAGCTGAGAAAGTTCTCACAACTAGAAAGTATAGGAGAATCTATACAGTATTTGTGTGGCGTGGGTGGAAGGTCTGATTACTATAATGCATTTTGATTGAAATTAACTGTACTTGTTCTCATTCATAATGGAATCGTTGATGCATATTAGGGATATGTCTTGACCTAGATGTTTGTATGCATGCAGTTCACAAGCATATACCTGAAATCAGCTACATATCTGGTCTTTATAATTTTATAATTTTTTAGTCATAGCAGCGATATAATCTCAGGTTGTGATATTTTTGCTGTGACAAAGATTAGCATCTTTGCTCGTCCCATTCTCTTCTCCAACCCTGTTGAAAAGGTTTACTATTTCAAAATTATACTTGAAAACTCTGATGGAGGTTAAGCTATGGGTAGTAATTTACCGGACATGTTCTTGTGAGGTTAGCAGATGAAAAATTGAGTGGAAATTCTCGTGTCCTCTTTTTTACCTAGCACATATTGAAAAGACCAACAAAATCAGCCCCTACTGGGAATGTGATCCTAAAAAGAGTTGGAAACATGATCTCTTGGCTACTTTATATTACAACAAATTTTTTTCTTTAAGAGATATGACATGTTGTGTCTAGTCTACTTCAAAATTGCCTGTTTTAAGTGCTGAAATGTTGGAATTTTCTCAACTTATAAAGTTACAATCTATTAATATTTAATATATAAAAGGAGAAGCAAATCAATGCTATTATGCCAAGTGTCACAATTAAATGTCAACATGTGTCATGTTTTAGGACAAAGCTCCAATAAATTTGGAGATTAAAAAAATAGGAAAAAACTTAATTTTTTTAAATAATTAACCAATTCAGTTATTGGAGTTTTGTTAAGTCCCACGTTTTTTATACACATATTTTTTAAAATAGAAAACTAAAAACATATATTTACTCCAATTCCAAAAAATGGAACCCCACGTTTTTCCTTAAGTTTTTTCTTTTTCTTTTTTTGCTCTACTTCTTTGTTAAAAACTTGTAGCTTAATTCTATATTATTTCATTAATATATATATATATAAATATATATATAAA